AATGCAGTTCGGAGCAAGGGTTCCAATCAGTTCTACGTAATGAGTTTTATATACATGGTTCCGTGTTTTTCCAATATAGGTTGACCAGTGTTACTGCGAAGCAGTACCTGCAGCAGCGCCAGATTCATCGGTTATCCAGTATCGTTAAAATTCTGCATAGAAACCTAATTCTATATCCCTTGTTTTGGGCGAATGTCGTGTCCATTCAAATTTTCTATGTAGCACGAACTCTAGGCCTAATTTGCTTTTGTGGAAGTTGGACCTTAGTTTAAAATTGAACCTTTTAAGATAAATATTTTAAAAAAATTGCCTGATATTCAATAGCAATTTATTTACCATAGTCAAGTGTATACAATATGGAAAATTAAAGGTCGGCTTGACCGAGTAGATTATTCAAGTATATATTAAAATTCATTTAATTGTATCAGAACTATGTTCAGATTTATATCTACTTTTATTACAATTTGCATGAAAATTTTATTCAAATAAAATTCAAAGTTATATCCAAAGATGCATTCAGATATCGGGTGGTGCAATCCATGGTTGAACTAGTATAAGGTTGACCCATCAGAAGCCCATTTTTGCGGATGCAGTTCGTTGTTCGCCTGTGACGTCACTGATCTCAATGACATCACGGGCATTAACCAATCACCGAAATGCGATCAAACCAGTCAACCAATCCGTCATGGGAATGACGGGTTTGTTTACGTTTCTCGATCTACGCGACGTAACAAGAAAGCTGAACTGAAAGACGGAACTTCTCGTGGGTCAACCTTATGTGCAATCCGATTAGACTGCTGAAATTTCACTGCTGCGTATTGTGCGATTCTAGTTTAAATCTTTGATCTAATTTCGAATGCAGTTGAACATCTTATTATTCTTTCTGTATTTCTCACTCCAACTTCCTACCCCTTCTAAATTTCTAAACCGATTTCGTCAACCAAAAATAAAAACACTGGGCATTAAAAACCTCAGCGGTTAGTTGCTGCATCATAGTGAATTTATATAATAATATAGCGGTTTCAGAGTTTGTTAGGCCGTAGGTCTGTCGCCGATTATTAACATCACAGAACATCCACAGCATGTTGTGGGCTTGAACTAGCAACGCACTGCTTCAAAATTTCGTTGCTTAACCCCCGGCCTCCTTGCCGGTTCTTAGCTACAAGAAACCGACGCACAGAGCTGGGGTCGACCCCGAACGTCTCTGCGCCAATCTTCGTTCTCTGAACTTTAACCACTGAGCCACCCTGCCCAAGTGACAATGGTAAAATTGTGTAGTCAGACTCGATTGGCTTGAGGTTTGGTCTTAACTAGGTTTTCATTTTCTGCTTTATCAACTTTCTGACGCTACAGAGGGAACTCCACTTTCTTATCTTTCATCGTTTCGCCATACTAACGTCATAGCCATTCTCGACCAACTATGAGCCAAAAGGTACCCTAAAAGCCTAAATCCTACCTGCCTCTAGCTGTAACGCAGTGGATCCTCTACTGCCTGGACAATACTGTCATTATTTTGTATTCCATGCATTATCATGCAAGATTGTTTAGCGGTAAAATTTGTTTATAACATCGCAATTATGTGCACGCATTCTGCATTCCATTCGGTAATATTTACCAAGTTACAACGAAACTCACAAAAATCTACCCTCAAAACCCCATCACATCATCCTCACTGATAGATCACAGTTGATTCACCTCTCATGGATATAACCCAGCAGCAGCTGTTATTGACCGTGATTATTCATCACCTTACATAGATACTAATTTTTTCCCTTCTCAATCTGTAAAAAATTAGAATTACTAATGATAGCAATATTAAAAAGCTATAGCATCAAAGGAGACACTTTCCTTCGGCATTCATGTGTAACGTTGGTGAACCGAACATCGAGGCCATGCTGTTTATCCGACCTCTCTTTAGTCTACACTCGTTGAGTTTGTTAAGTTGAGAATCAAAGGCCATTCCAAGTTACTGCCTAAATAAAATCTGTTGAAGACGCCTACATTTATAGAGCTTTCCCGATACGGAATAATTCTCTACAGTTCGTGTGCTGCTTATCGGAACGTTGTAAACTCGCTTCTTCTGACAATAATAAGTAGTATGATAAGAAGACAACTACATTTATAAAGTTTTCTCGATACGGAAGAATTCTCTGCAGTTCGTGTGCTGCTCATCGGAACGTTGTAAACTCGCTTCTTCTGACAATAAGTTAGTTTAGTGGCCACATGTTTACTAGCGCTTTACCCACTCGGCTATCTCGCACCGGAAGTCAAGTTGAACATGACCAACGAGGTGGAAGGTCTCATATTTTCTCAAATCAAATATTCTAAATCACCCACAAAGAGCGGAAGGTCACAAGTCTCTACTCTCCAGCCTGCTGAAGCTGGCACGAAAGAAGCAGCGTCAGCATCTCAAAGAGACGAAGTGACAAGGAGAGACAGGTGATAAGCAACAGAAACGAATACACTCGAACGGGAGCGCAGCCGCGCACCACCAATTTTGTGCACCAATTTGAGCCCTGAATCGAGCGCCTTGTATCTCTCCGGACATCCACCAATCAACCGAGAACCACTCGGCTTTGTCTTCCTCCGGCCTTGCAAAAAATCTGCCGTGCATCACCAGGCCGCAGATCCAATATGACTTCCGAGCATCGTTTAATTACGTAATTTTACGTTCACCGCATCTGAGGTTAGGTTTCAGATAGCATAGTTCAGTTCCAAAATTTATCGTCCTTTGACGAGTGGCCGTTCGAACGAGGGCTGGTTCGACGCACGGCCTAGATATGCTTGTCCAGTGTTGAAGGCTACGTTCCGGAAGGCAGGAATCATGATGATCCATTACATCCACTGATCCAGGGCAGTGGTGGTCTTCGGCTGGCGACCCAACTCGAACAAGAGGTCGCTTACACGGGACGTCAGCCGTCCGCACGAAAGAGACAGAGAAGTACCGTAAAGCGTAAGAATCCACGACTATGGACCCTAGTCTGACACCGCGAGCTCAGTCGTGGGGCGCTTAGGAACAGTGCCCTCTTGGAACGCGCGATAACTTAGTTCTGACGAGCACCGACACGCCAGAAAAAAAACCCTGAGGGTCTGACAGTAATAAAGATATAAATAATATCCGAATGAGATGCATCCTGGCAGAAGTCGAATGATTGTAAGGTTCCATGGAAAATCGTTAACACCATGTTCGCAAAAATAATAATAATAATAATAAAAAATAAAAGTGATTTTACAATCATTTGAAAGTCAATGATACTGTGGTATTCATTGGATTGAGTTTTCAATTAATGTCTGGTACTGATGCAGCTACTGAATTCAACAATTGCTTCATACTTGTAACTGATAATATTGATAAACCTTTTTCTGCAGTGTACAATGGGTACCTGATTGCATTCCTTACCGTAAAATGTCCTACCTCTTTACACCAGCACGTAAAATTAAAAATTTCTTCCGTTTATTTAGCAGTAGGACACTCAAGATCGATGGAACACAGCTGTAAGTATATTGTGTGCTGTAGCTGATATTTGCTGCGCCTGCTTTACGCCATATCTTCAATATGAGCGTATTTACTGAATAGTATCATTCGCTGAAGCGTGCGCACATCTACCGTTTTTAAATCCGGCGTCTCAAACATAGTCTGTAACTATCGCCAAATACCAACACTAAAAAAATTCCTGAACAATATTTTTTTCGTTGCAAACTATCATGAACGGGCATGAAATCCCGAGCTAAGGTTGAGTCACTCTCCATTTGCGACCATATGCACACGCATTAGCCTCTGCCGGAGAGCCAAGGCACGTAGCTAACTAGCCAGCGGAATACCCTTAACCTAGGTATAGTGTGTAAAAAACTATGTAGAGTGTAGAGACTAGTGAATAATCAGCTTACATGCAATCTGGTGAAACAAAAGGTAATTTTTCATCATAAGCTTGAATTACGACGCCTTTATTCTACAATTGACGCTTCTACCGTACAAGAACACGAGATTAAGAGCGCTCAGAGGTAAGATTCTGCTAGTGGTCTACTTCGACCTCAGCGAAGCATTTGACATAAAATCGATGCCCGCATGTTGTACTGAATTAGAGCATTCCCGACGAGCCGATAGTTCTGCTCATCAGTTGCAGGTAGGACTCGACATCTTGGCACACTCCTGTTCAGTGCTCACCTCGGAGATGTACCGACGTTGCCAAACGTTACCTCCGCCATCTATGCGTGCGACATTACGATATTCGTAGTGACTTACTTCTTGACACGAGAAACCGAATTCAGGGAGCCATCGATATGTTTGTGAAGTGGATGGCACGATGTGTAGATAACTGGTACCAGCAGATAACAGGTACCAGAAACAACCCAACACCACTTAATCTCTTGCAGAAAGTATGAAAAACCCCTTGCTCGGATGTAAACAGTTACGGCTTGCGTATACTTTGCCTCGTTTTGCTGCGAGGACAAGACACCAGTTTCTTTTGGCTGACCTCTGATTTGTCGGGCGGCGGAATAATTTTTCCTCTTGGTATGGTTCATTTGACAGAGCAACGATTCCCTCGTGCTACGAGGCAAATAATAATAAAATTTGAGTCGAATGATCAATAATCACACGCACTCCCAAAGACATCACATGCACTCCCAAAGACACGCATCCGCATCGCACCGCCTAGCAGCAGATGTAGAAGTCCTCACGGACTCTGAGAATTAGCTTGCTGCAGCTTGTGGAGTAAATCGGCCGGTCTTCGCACTCCGTCACTAAAAAGCTTGAACGCCATTTGTCTTTAGTTTTCTGTGTGATTCTTAATTAGGCTGAAATTGCTGGCTAATTTGGCCGTTCATTGATGAATCCCCAGTGATAATTAAATTATACACTCAAATTTATGTGCTGCTTACAACTTGTATTGTATCGTCGTATTCGGCAAAGTAGTGGTTCAGAAGATGAAGACAGCGCCTCAAATTATGGCTGATGCTATTTATCCAATTCGGTTTTTAGATTAAAATAAAAGGAATACTTGTCAAGGCATCATTTCTATTCGACATTCTTGGGCTTGTCAGCTGGTCCCATATACTCTTCATCCGATGGCACTTCTTCCGCCATATCAGAGAAGAATTGCGCAGGGTTCCGCTCCCGGGCTGAGTCTAGATTATTCTTCAGATCTCTGGCCAAGCAGCTCTGCAACACACGACATTTGCATGCACTCAAAATCAGGAACAGGGAGAGCACAGATTTTGGATATGAAATTGGGTCAAATAAAATTTAATAGAAAACATGCTTAGACTGTAATAAGCTTTTGGTGCAAAAGTGTTAAAAAATGAGGCAGGGAGACAGGTGTTCAAAATGAGACAGGTGTTCAAAATGTGACAGGTGTTCAAAATGTGACAGGTGTTCAGCATAATTGTCAAGTAGCACATAATTTGTAAAGTGAGAAAGATTATCTACTCGAAACAGCTAAGTACTAGCATCTACACATTATTGTTACTTTTCATCACTAAGAACCATGTACTTCTCACACAATTAAAATTCATCATACTGATTGACATTAAACAATGTTTAATACGAAAATTTACAATCAAAAAGACTGAGAAAACTTACTATTTCTTTGTCAAAATGGGCCACATTTCTTTTCTAGATTTTTTTTTGTTTTCCGCATTAATCTTTTACATTTGAATGCAAAAGAGCTTACTCAAAGTTACTTAATAATATTGAATTATAAATATTTTACATGATACAAGTACCAACCCCTGGGGCCAAGGTTTTAAGGGATCAAAAAACTGCGGCGCAACTCGCCCATGCAACAACACTTCTTCTCACTTCAAGTCACCATGTGGAACAGATTCTCTGCTGGTATAGTTGACGCTCCGCTTATAAACGCGTTCAAGAACGGACTAGATAAAGCTATGCAGGAGTACATGTTCAGATTTGAAGAGCCCATCATCCCACGGACCATGTAAAATTCTAGTGTATGTACTTAATTCAATGTCAGTTTTGAAAACAGATCTGATAAAAATGACTGTTTTAAGAACTCCTGTGAACAAGTCACGAAAATCACAAGAATCAGCAACATGCCAAACTGAGCCTATTCTTGGACACTTATACTCGGACAAAGCAATACTGTACTAATAAAATTTAATATTTATATCGGGATCTTATATAATAATAATATAATATTTAGGTATATATATGAATTATATTATATTTAATACTAATTTTTCATGAACTGGTATGCACTCGAGATCCACTAATAATTGTCTACTCTAGACTCTAGAGATAGCCCTAATTTTGAAGGCAAGGTGGAAGTAGCATAAACACTTTCGTCAGCCACTAAGTTCTCATTCACTCGGAAATACCTTCTTCCTCTTCTGCGTGTTGTAGAGATGCTGCAGGTCCCAAAACTGAACCGTGTCGTCAAGCGAGCAGGAAGCCAAGAAGCGTTGATCACAGGACACTGAGATGTTCTCAATTCCGTACTTCTGATGACGACCAATTACACCCGCGTAGTTGTGTGGGTATAAGTTTACCGCTCTGTCAAAAATTCAACAAGGTTTTCACAATGGTTGCTATCATTTTCCTAAATGTTATGTCCCAGTTCAAATTCTCAAGGAATGCTGGACATATCTGCAACCAATAAAATTAGGACTAAATACCACAGTCACTCTAGCACATGAAGCACGTGAGAAGGTAAACGTTTCACACAAGAAAAAAGGAGAAAAGCAAACGAACAAATAACAAATCAAATAGTCCGCTTGGGCGCATCATTGTGAATATATAAAATTGAAGCCAAATCTATGGTCGTAATCAGTAAATTTTATTACCAAATCATTTCAGCTCAAATATTGAGAAAATGCAGTCAGCCTCTTCTGATTTATGTAACGAATTAATGAATTACAAGCCGGCACCTGATGTAGCCGTCATCGGAGCCTGTGACGATCCTGCCGTCACCGACTGGCACCATGCAGTTCAGCTTGGCGCGCTGCTCGGCCACCTTGTCGTGGTGCAGCGCGAACTCGCCCCACTTGAACAGATACAGGGCGCCTTTTTCGCCGCCAACGGCCAGGCGCGTGCCGTTGCGGACGATTGCGAGACATGATAGCGCTTCATCTTGATATTCAGACTGCAAAACCAGTTAAGTAATATGAATAATCTGTTAGTCAGTGCAAAATTTGGTGCTACCAAGACACAAGACTCTGGGAACCATAAAAAAGTAGTGAATAAAGTATTGAATATGCCAATAATTGTCCCACAATATTATAAAGAAAATGAGTGAAAGTAAATCTCTTGCTGGTGATGCTATGGAATTAATACCTCATATTTTTTGGAATTATTGCTAATATGAATTTGATGCGATATGGAAACCTACAAAAAAAATACGAGACTGTCATTTCCTGATGAAAGTATAAGTCAGTAAAAAATACAAAAACAATGAAATTAGTTAAAGGTGAGTCAACAGTAAGTAATAAAACAACACTCACTAAGAAATGCATTAAATGATGCGTTATTTGTAAAAATCAGTGCATGTAACCGTCAAGAAGAGCAGGCAGCTGTTCTTTCAATCAGAATTAGTACCTATGTTACCAGTATGTTATATGCATTAAAACATATGAAAGAAACCACTAATGAAGCCAGTAACTGATGATTAACCTAATCGTTTTCTCTGGAAACTCAATTTCTTAACTAACATCATCATGACGCCAAGCCCAGTTTTGCCCTGGGGCAAAATATTCTTTTGAGCTTACTAGAAAAAAAATGTGACATGCTCTTGTACAATAACCATTGTACCTGAACAATAAGTTTCCTTCGAGAAGTGTTGTAGGCAGCAATTGAACCATCATTCAGAGCTGCAACGAGTGTTCGGCCGCTGTCATCAACAACCATGTCATTTACAGTCTCCTCGCCACATTCAAATTTGTGAATAGAATTCTGTTTTCTCAAATCCCACAGTTTGATATTCCCATTGTCATCGCCTGATGCTAGTAAATTCTCATTTACAACACAGAGACTGTAAACTGGATAATCATGAGCATTCTTAATGTGTTTTAAAACTTTCCATGTGGCTGTATCCAGCACAGCCACACTTTCGTCTTTGCTGGCAGTAAACACAGAGCTTCCATCTTTACTGAACTTGACACATCTCAGACAACTTGTGTGATGCTCAGAGCTATGAACTTCTTCTGTGCTCTCCTTGGTATATTTGTAACTGAAAAAAATGATCAGATTTAAATTAAATTTGAAGTAGTGAAACCACATATACATTTGAGTATACTACTTTGTAAAAAAAACTAATGGAGACCTTACAATTTCTACAATTTACTTTCAAAGCAGTCAGGAATTCAACCTCCACATAGCCATAGTAGATCTACCCCCTGCTTGCCCACTGGTCAAATTCAGTGAGACTCTTGAGGTGATGAAGACCAAGTTTTCTAAACTGGGACAGCCCAGGGACACCCACTTTCAATTTGTAAATGAGGGGGGACTTTAATCTACCACATATCGAATGATCCTGATGAGACCATTAGGAGGGTTTAAACCTTGCTTAAAGTTAGGAAACTTGACTGAAGCAGTTAGCTGATTAGCACCTGCTTGGTCAACAATTTCACATGCTAATGAGGGGACACAATACTCTTTTAACAAACATGTATCTCGAATAATAACTTGTCTTAAATAGTGCGGAGAGAATTAGTTATAACTCACCAAACAACTTCAGAGTCAAGAGTTGCTACAGCCAGCAACTGGGCAGATGGATGGAATTCAATATCAACTACTTCAGCTCCAACATCAAGGTCAGGAGGTTGTTCCCGTGTCTTCTCAAGTGCAGGCTCTATCTCAAAAACTTCCTCCAGGGTAGCTCCTTTTTCTTCGTCATCACTATCAGATGACAACCAATTATTGTCCTCTTCTTCAATTTGTACTTCCTGCAATAATAAAAATTGATTATAAGTGCATGAATGGATATATAAAGATATTAAATTTTGAACATTCAATAGACATGATAATTATTTATTAAACAATACTCAAATTATACACAAAAATGAACAAGCTTTAGAGACAAGGTCCCAGATTTTCACAAAAATTAACAAAAAAAAATGGAGTACTAACTTCTTGTGACCTTTCTGACTGGCTAGGGCCTTCATGAGAAACATGTGCTTGAGGTTCCACTGGTTGATTGACGGCATGATCATCCATGTATATTTCAAAAGGTTCTTCCGAATCACTTGAGTAGTCTCCGTCTAGGCGCTGCAAAATGATGTTGACATTTAAGTACATACATACAATTTATGAATAGTAAATTATTTGTAATTATTATGGATTCACACTGAACAAAAGAATATTTATCAAGAATTGCAGTATTGCACAATGAAATTTTCATACTTGTACTCTTAATAGAATTCAGAATGAAAAATTTACTTTGAAATATTATCAGGTGCTTTTCAGAACACAATAAATATACAAATGATCAAAAATTCAAAATAATATTCAAATGTCAGTTCAAAAAGTTTGGAAATTTTTTAGCTTTTATTCAGAGAAGTGTAATAAAAAAGTGTTTGTATACCGTCGAACAGGGTAAAAAGGGACGGTTTTGAGCGTTTTTTGTTAATAACTTCTTTCCATGAAACATTTCATAAACAAGTTTGGGCTCATTTTAAATGTCTTTGCAAGGGCTATCATATGGCATCTCCAAAAAAAATCCATATGCTATTTGTAAGGTACTGGACACAATATAAAAGGCTCCTGAATTAATCTGGAAATGGGGTAAAAAGGGATACTTGAAATAAAACTCAATTTTAAACATTTGAAGCATGCAGAATGTACTCATCTATTACTAACAGTACTTTCAAGTCCTCCTCTACCTTTGTAAATGATGTAAATGTAGAATAAATGAAATTTTCTGTGATTTTTACTTGGTTTTTCTTCATTGATGTAATATTACCTTATCCATACATTTTTTTGTGGAAATGGCCACCATTTTTTCTTGGAATGAGATATGCAAATTCTGTCGATCACATTTTTAGGCCAACACTAGTGTGCGACTTTTACGTACCTAAAGTAAAATTTTTCAATACGAAAAATATTTTTTCTGCTACAGACCTTAGCAGAGGTACTTTTCCAAAATCTCACTTTCACACTTTTTTTCAGGGATTTTTTAGAGATAATAAATGTATGATTTCTCAACTTGCTTTATGCTGCATAAATAGTAAAAATGTTGAACTTTACACCACTATTTTTAGTTTTGCAATATTTTAGGGTAAATGCGGTAGGTATATTCCAACACATTAAGGACATAGCAAGAAATGAATGGCTATAAATAGATCACCGTATGCGCAACTTGAGTTCTGATTGGTTTACGTCACTCTCAAAACACCACACTACGCGCCAGCAACAATGAAATGTCACAAACTGTTGTCATATTTATTTAAAAGCCTTTAGAATTCAAACCTACAAAATCCCTGAATTCCAAAGCTGTGTGTGACTAAATTCTGCATATTGTAAGACTAATTCCTGCAGCGCTTCAAACTCTATTAATTTATAATTCCGGTGCCCTGTGTTGGAATTCCGACACCCAGTGTGAGCTGTATTGGAATATGACACGGCTCGGAAGTCGGAACGAGCTTAATTAAATATTTTTAATTTTTGGACAGTGCTCGCAACGGGCTGTGTGTGTCTAATTCCAAGCTGTGTCGGAATTAGTTTTTATGTGTCTAAAACCGTCGCTTAACTTAATCATCTATTAATTTATTTACCACTTGAAATCAGCAGATATAAGTTAGTTAGTTAAGTGGCCAAATTTTTACTAGCGCTTCAGCTATTTAGCTATCTCGCACCAAAAGTCAAGATGAACATCACCATAGAGGTGGAAGGTCTCAATTATTCATCACCCACAAGGGGCGAAAGGTCTCAGATGTCCAGCCCGCTGAAGCTGGTTCGAAAGAAGCAGCGTTAGCATCTCAAAGAGACAAAGTAGATATAAGTATACTTGAAGGATTCCTAATATATTCACAGACTTATTTAAAAGTCTCAAACCATAATATTCTTTCCACACTAACAGTTTATCACAGCACTATTTGGTAGCGCAAGGTCAACTATCAACTTTGACACTTTTTTCAATGTTCTCACTGGGTGATGTGCACTGTCTCTCTTTGGATCTTTTACCCTAATTACTTTTAGCTGCTACAAGATTTCTACAAAATCTTGGAGGACTGTCCTTTTTTACCCTGCCCGTCCTTTTTACCCCGTTTCACGTTTGATGGTACATTTATAACTTTTTTATTTTATTGTTTCTCAAGATTAATCATTTAAATCGGACAATTTACAAGGACATAATTATTTGTACCTAAAATATCAGACAAGACTGAAAATTGGAATGAATAGAACATAAGAAAATGCACTAATGATCATCAAATCTCATAGGCTAGCATAACTATTGTTATGCTAGGTTGCTAGCCTTAGTAGCCTATATGATTCAAGTACGGTATCAAATTAGAAAAATATTGCCACTAAATGCTTGTATCATTCTGCATTCATATGAATAGTTATAGTACTTATAGCTTATAGTTATAGGCTATACTAGTAATATTGTAATAATACTTGTACTAGGAATAGGCCTAACACATAAGCTTAGCCTAGGTGCCATAGCAAAACATACATTCATGAGTTCATCAAGGATCTCTGCACTTTGATAGGCATAGTGGCAAAGCAGAGAGTTTTTTAGACTCTTCCTCAAGTTCATTTTTGAGTCCTATAAGTAGACCAGTAAAGTATCTTGGATACCAGAGTTATCATACATAAGAAATCTGTTAAAATCTGGGGTAAATGAGGAAATTAAAAATGAACTGATTCTAAAAAATCTCTGGTTTGCCACTATGTTGATAGGTCAATAACTTAGTTAGCAAGTAAAAGAATATTAAAAAAAATATAGTCCTTAACACTAATAGAACCTGGAGAATGCTATTGTCGTTCTCACTGCAGTCTGCACTCTGCACTCACTCTGCAGACACTGCTCTTGTCTAAATCACCCATACTTTAACAAATTCTTTTCAGATGATCTGGATCATGTGACCGAAGTTATGTCTCGCAACAATATTAAACATGTACAGTATGGCCCATAGCTATTGGCCTATTAGTCAAATTCATTTTTTGAGTCATATAACTTCAAATATAAGTAGACTAGTAAGTATTTTAGATACTACCATTTGAACGACCACATATAGTAAAAATAACTTCAGAAAAACTTACAGGGTCAGGTAGAAAACTCCGCATGCTAAAATCAGCCTTGGTTACAGTAGACTCACTGGCCTCACAGACACAGTCAATACTAGATGTGGATTCCTCAACGTTGGATGTACTCGTAGAAGTGAACTGTAGGAACTTCGTCCGTCCGGTGTCATAGTATATATACTGAATATACATGGTTGAGCCATGGTGTATAGTGACACAAGTGTAATAATTTATTAAAATTTCTAACCGAGTCATGCATGAGAAATGAAAGAATGCGATAAAAACTAAATCAAATGAGCTATATACAAAACTTTTGTATCATTGTATGCAGCCGTATCATTGTATGCAGCCGTAAATGTTACGAATTAGAGTAGTACGAATTAGAGTTACGCACTCGTTTTTATGAAACGAGTGCGCACTAAAAAATCTACTTATATTTCCGGAAGCAAAATATTTCATTCTTTGTATAAGTAATAATTTGGGTTCACACCACGAAGCACGAACTAGAGTTGTGTGCCCAACAGTGTTGTTCCTATTCCTAAATTATATAAAGAGTACGACCTCCACAGTCCACACTACTGACTGATGACTGAACTTCAAGAAAATCAGTCGAGGCCTTCTAACCTTGGGAGCGCAGCCGTGGGTAACAAAATTGACTCGTAAACAGGCCCTGGGCCTAACGCCAACCATCAGCATGCAATATCTACACATAGCCTCAGATCAATGAGCTGTGGCTAACTCCGGCTAACAGTAAATCAGTAACTTGGTAGTGCACAACACAGCCACTGCTTCACAGCGCCGAAGCCCAACTGGCCGGAGCGCAACAGGCCCTACCGCAACAGGCGGCGCAGGTTAGGTTAGGTTATCTGTTGCGGTAGGGCCTGCTGCGCTCCGGCCAGTTGTGCTCCGGCCTGTGACTGAACTGCGCTGTTGTGGTGGGCACTTTGTGTCAAAAGCCATGAAGATGCCCGGCTGCGTTACGCTCGGGAAGGTTTATGAATCGCACTGTGGACTTAGGCTATGCTGGCCTCATGCTATCCACCCCTAACCTTTGGTGGATAAAATGAAGAATTACATTACTTCTCGCTTTACACTTTCCGCAAATTCGATATCCTCAATTCAAGTCAAATAGCCTGGAATGCAGAGTCTTCCGATATCGTTGTATAGTAGAGACGGCGTTGGTAAATAGGCAAAGTTCAGCTTGTCGCCGACTCTTGTAAGGAATCTTATATGAACCATAAATATACTTGTATGCTTCGATAAAGTCACCGTGGAAACATCGAGAAGAGACTTGAAAGCTTATCATGATATAATATTTCTTCATATGACTTGACCTCCAAGCCTGAAATTATCCTTGCTGCACGCCATGAACCAACTTGATTTTTTAGTTCTCGTGTTTCGGTAACAAAATGGAGTTTTCTCAGGTGCTGAAGCAAGAGTACGATAAACAACTTCATCATAGTATCTATATCAATGTAGTCATAAGAGAGTATGATCAGTCCAAGCAAATTCCAAATCGGTTCCAACCATCACTGTCGAATGCTTTTCAAGTCTAATAAACACATCATTCACTGGTGCATGGTTCTCCTTCGTCCAGTATCGAAGAATCGGCAACAGGCCATGAGCCTATTTCTTCAGGACCGACGCTTCTTTTCTATTCAGTAGCCGAGTGAACAAGAGTTTAGCGGTATAAGACCTGCCGGATATGAAGCCATGTTGACAGTCTGGCAGAAGGCTCGTGAATAGTCGAGTGATCAAACACTTTATGCCACAGAGCTAATTCCGCAACTTTACCTACAACACTAGACTGATACGGCGATAGTCTGCCTGCTATACGTAGTCATTTTTCGTTGCGGTTGTTTCCGGCTTGAAGGTGAGGAAGTAGCCGTGCGGTGACCACTTGTTACATCTGGACACAGCAGAATTAACTTAATGAATTTCAGTATTGTATTTTGAAGAATCTTGGAGATATTGTCAGGTGGGCTAACGGTTTTAAATCAGAACTCAAACCAGTATGGTACTCGTAAACTACGGGGAAGCGAGGTGATTTGTTTGTGCTAAATAGGTGATTGTTGCTTTTCTTAATGCATGATGAAATTTTCTGCGAAAGTTGTCTCCTCCAAGAAGTATCCGAACAGATAGATGCAGGTCACCCACGGCTTGAGTACCAGTGATCATCACCTGACGCTCCATGTGATACTGAGTGCATGGTGCATGTCAGGAGAAGATGATCCACGGTATCCACTCCCCCCCCTCACCCTCCCCCGCAATGGAAGCACATGGGAGTGTCAGCCATGCCAAATCGTTTAAGGTGTGACCGAACACCAGCATGGCCTAAGCGAAGACGTGTATGTACCAGAGCAGCACGACGAGAGAAACAGGCCACCCATGGAACAGGGGACGGACAAATCGGTCCGCACAAAAGAAAGATGGTGCCCCTTCTCTTCAACAGCCAATGCAGTAATCTAGTCCAGTTCCCAAGACCTGACAAAGCAGGAACGCAGGTTAGTACCTTTGCATCTTTGCAACAGCATCTGCCTGCTCATTCCCAGCTATGTAAGCATGAGCCTGAACCCACTGAAACATGTAGGCGCATTCTTTTACGCTCATTCAGGCCCTGGAGCAGCTGACGAATTCGATATTTAATATCGTAACACGTATCTGTTGGGAAACGTAGGAGCTGAAAGGCCGCAAGTAAATCTGGGAAAATAACCCAGTATAGAGATGTCTCACTTTCAACAAGCGCCAAAGCATGTAATGTGGCAATCTATTCAGCTGGCAGGATGCCACCCATGCCTCCATACAGCCTGGTGAAGAAGCTTTGCCTGATGTTTACTAAAAATGTTTACGTCAGCACACAAATGTGTAGTGAACAACTCCAGTCTCTGTTGTAATAACTTGAAAGAAATGCGGCTGACAACTTTACCGCGATAGCGACCTCCTCATCGACATCGATGTTGAACAGAAACGTAACGATAAAGATGATGAAGGGAGAATTAGGCGCTAATTAAGATGAAGATGTGGCTACAAAGGACAAGATTAACGAACTATGCTTCTTGTGTGGCAACAGGTATCACAAAAACTTACTCATTGTCCAGAGTAGGATGTTAATTAAATAAATTGTAACAAGGTAGACTATTTTGCCGAAATTTGTTATTCAAAGATGGCTACTGCTACAACAGCCATGATCTGTCACAAGTACCTTTTACTGACAATTCTTATAGTGCACAAGACACAATACCTACTGTAATCGCTAGGTACGCCGTATCTTCTATGCGCGTTTCGTTTTTAACCGCCATATAACACTCAATAGACAGGAATTTAAAAGTAAAGTAAATAGCCAAAATTTTCATCATTTCTTATAAGAGAAAACGTTTCGGAGTCCAGCTCCATCGGCAGTTCAAAACCTAGAACACAGGTACAAAAAAATTAGTAAACTAAAATTCTCATTCAAACAATTCACCTAAACTTGAGGACATTAGAACTAAAATCGAAGATTACAGAAATAAAAATGAGATGACATGTAGAGAAAGTACTATCTATTTACAAATTGTAGAGGATAGGAACTGAATGCAGCATTTAAACTGGGTTTCTGTTTGAAAATATATAATGATTATAAAATTCGTAGATCAGAAACACCGGTTGTGGAGGCTAAAACTCTAAAATCACTATTGGACACCGTGACGTTGCACTGCTCGGCATGAATACGTACGGCTGAATGAGGGGGATGCGCAAGTATGTTCCCTGTTCTATAACTCCTGCCCCTATGCTCTGCAAGCCTAGTATAAAAATTGCGCGATGTCATACCGACATACGCAGATGCGCACTGCGCACAACTATATTGATGAACTAGGGATGATCGCATAAGAACAGGGAGAGGTTCTTTGTACTTGAAAAACGAGCTAATTTTAAAATTGTTCACTAGCAATACATTAAGATTTACATTTGGGAGGTATTTAGAGAATAGATCTTTCAACTCCTTTGCCATCGTCTCAGATGCGGGGCCAAAGTAAGGAAAAGAACAATAAACACGATTCCCTGTCTCTTATACACATCTAGATGTGTATAAGAGACAGATTATAGGTGGCGTAACGGTGGGTGGCCAGGTCTGCCGAAAATCGACAATAAAACACCAATAAATCGAAAGGGTGGCGAGTATAGGTGGGAGTCATCGATGAATCATCGATGAGTTATAGGGTCTGAAACATCTATGGCACATTGCAGACAAATCTCTTGTGAGCCACCGATAACCCTTTGCCCAAACTGAACAGTGCACGAAGGTATAATTGCCACTGTAATTTATCCAACGTAGAAAGGTGTTATTGGGTTGCGGGTCATTCGAGATCAAGACGAAACCATGACTTCATTTTGTGTGCTTGGCTTTGAAGATTAAGTTCTGGCAAGAAAATTTAGCGTGAATTAGGTGGATTCCAATAAAACTGATGAAGAGAAGCAAGGTGTTCAAAAAATTGTCACGCCAAAGTGAAGCCACTGGCCATGTATCAGACTGTTCCTGATATAAATTTGTAGGAACATCCAATGTTAATCTTAGTTTTAAGTAGTTAAATCTTCAAATTTTCGAATAAAATCAATCCTTTCGTAAACATCCGAACTACTTCTAAATTGACTTTTTCTTTCTTCGTAAGTTCCGTTAACTGTAACCGCACTACTGCCTTGTCCTCCAACGTTTGGGGTAAGCTCTTAAATAGCTCCTAGATTGTTCCTCAAACTTGTAATATTTCTTTGTATATTGATTGTACCTAATATTGACTTCATCTTAATGTGTATTGTTAATATGTATTCATCTTAATATGTATTGTATTCTATATGTATTGTATTCATTCTACAGGTGCAACTCACGGATACATACACTTAAATACACTCTCCAAACACGCATCTCTCTAGATTAGTTTTTCTTCTAAATCCCTCATCGCGTTTGACTTAGCTTATAGCGGTGTAGAACCAACTTACCGCTATAAATTGTCCGATATACAATGAAAACATTTTGTTGCAATAAATACAGTTTTTCCATAGATGACAGCAAATCCAATTTTTCATGTTCACCTGAAATATCGCGTAAATTTATTGTGAATTTTGCGTATGCGCCAACTGGCTGTGTTGGAAGTATTGCGATCAATTGAGACTAATTATTGTGTCATTAGGTATAAAATTTATGAATCAATCAAGTGTGTTCCATTATATTTACAATATGCTCAAGATGCCCCATTTATCTAA